AGTGAGTTTCTGAATGAAGTTAATGGGTGAGAGCTTGAGTGGTCTGTGAGTGATTGAGTCTGTGAGCGAGTGAGTCTATGAGTGAGTCTATCAGAGAGGGAGTCCTGTGACCGAGTAAGTAAGTGGGTGAATCTGTGCACGCATGGGTAAGTGGGCGAGTGTGCACGAGGAGTGGATGAATTATTTTGTGAGTCAGTTTCTGAGGTGTGAGTGGGTGAGTTTACGAGTGATTCTGTGAGTGGATGCACGAGTGGGTGAGCAATTGGGTGGGTAAATGGGTGAGCAAGTTCTTGAGTGAGTTTCTGAGTGAGCGGCTGAGTGAGTATGTGAGGGATTGGGTGAGCGCGTAAGCCTGCGAGTCGTTGAGTGGGTGTGTGCAAGAGTGGATGAGTCTGTGTGGAGTCTATGTGTCTTTGTGCACAGTATATTGTCCGTGTTTCGACGGGTCTTTTTTAAGTTAATTGGTTTCTGTGCGAGTCAATGGGTCTGTGTGAGTCTATGCATCTAGTGCGAGTCTTTGGGTCTCTGTGTGGGGCACATAGCCTGGCATGTGAGTGGGGGGTACAGTACCCCTGTGCGTATGTGTGGCGGGGGCACCGTAACCCCGTGTGTATGTTGGTGGGGTACCGTAACCCTGTGCGAGGGGATCTCCCTGCCCCCACCCCGGGGCAGAGGGAGGATCATGAAGGTGGACCCGGAAGTGCTCGGCTTGGGAGACAAACCATCCTCCTCCTGCTTCTTGTTGTTGTGCTGGGGGGGAGGGGGTGTGGAGAGGGAGGAAGGGAGGAGGAAAAGAGGAAACTAAACTATTTCAATTTTTCCAGGTAATGCCCATCGAGCGACACAGCTCTTCTTCAGAAGGGAAAATGCCACAAATGATAGGTCAACGAAGTGGCCTATCATCACGACGACATTTATAGAAACCAAACACTCTGAACGCGACCACGGGGAGAGAGAGAGACATGCAAACTCGAAATATACAGGTGTGAGGGTAGGGATCGAACCCACGACCTGTATAACAGGCGAGGTAGTTACGGGAGAAAGAAGAGAGATAGAGAGGCAGGGAAGGAGCGGGAGGTAGAGTGGGTGGGGGAGAGTGGGGGGAGACAGGGAAAGGGAGGAAGAGTGGGTAAAGGAGGGGGGGAAATAAGTCAAGCTCAGTATTGCTTGCACTCACCATGATACAATCACCATCAAACTCACACTGTCACATACCATCACTCACATACTCACCATGATACTCACACATCCACATACACTCACCCTCATAAACACACCCCTACCATCCAACTCACAGACACGACATGATAGTCACACACTCAATCACCATTACTCACAAGCCCACAAACTCACAACGACAATGGCCGCCATTCGCCACTACGTGGCGGTAATGTCATCACAACAAACCAGGTGCCATGGGTTGACTGCTGTGCCATACTAGGTGCAGGAGGAGGACACGGGACAGACCCAGGTGACATGGGTTGACTGCTGTGCCAGGCTAGGTGCAGGAGGAGGTCATGGGACAGATACTGATGCTATGGGTTGACTGCTGTTGCGACAATCCCACTTGGGCGACAAGCCAAGGCCAAAGGTCGGAGTGCAGCCAGTAAACTCCTGAACCTGCACCACCTAGAGAGAAGGGGACATGGAGACACGGGGAGAGAAAGGAGGGAGACACGGGGAGAGAGAAGAGGGAGACACGGGGAGAGAGAGGAGGGAGACACGGGGAGAGAGAGGAGGGAGACACGGGGAGAGAGAGGAGGGAGACACGGGGAGAGAGAGGAGGGAGACACGGGGAGAGAGAGGAGGGAGACACGGGGAGAGAGAGGAGGGAGACACGGGGAGAGAGAGGAGGGAGACACGGGGAGAGAGAGGAGGGGACACGGGAGAGAGAGGAGGGAGACACAGGGATAGAGAGAGTGAGACACGGGAGATGTGAGGAGTGAGACACGGGGAGAGAGAGGAGTGGAGACACGGGGAGAGGAGGGAGCCACGGGGGATAGAGGAGGGAGACACGGGGAAAGATAGGAGTGAGACACGGGAGAGAGAGAGGAGGGAGACACGGGGAGAGAGGAGGAGGGAGACACGGGGAGAGAGAGGAGGGAGACACGGGGAGAGAGAGGAGGGAGACACGGGGAGAGAGAGGAGGGAGACAAAGGAGGCACCTGTGGGCCAGGTGCCTCCTTTGTCTCCCCCCCACCACCGCCACTGCTGATGTGTCCACACCGGTGCTTGGTTCTCACCTTCTTCTGGCTGAGTCGACGTAGAGGAGGCCCAGCCAGCGAGCCGCCACGAGCCACCGACGGTGGCCGTGAGCGGGAATCCAAATCAGCCTCTCGCCACCCACAATGCACAGCGCCGCCTCCACTCGCCCCGGCCTCAACGGAAGTAGCAGCTGGGGGGGGGTTGAGGGGGGTGAGGGAGGACATGGGGGGTGGCACAGGGGGAGTTATGGGGTTGAGGGGTTATTCATAATAAAGGTGTATTTGGGTTAGTCTCCAAACACACCGATGTGCTAAAATAGAAACTAATTGGCACTTTTGTTCACGTGACAAACTTTATTAATTGGCTGTGTCGGGTGGTGACGGGTTTTAAGACACATTTATATTTACACGATCTTACTGCAAAAAAAACCTTTATAATGGGATTGGAGAAAGTTAGGGGTTCAAAGGGTTAGGGGGTTGGATTTAGAGGCATAGGGGTTTAGTGGGTGAGGGGTTTAAGGGTGAAGGGGATTAGAGGGTCATAGTTTTCAGAGTATAGGGGTTTTGAGGGTTAGGGGTAGAGGCTTACGTGTTTATAGGGTTAGGGTTTTAGGAATCTATGGGTCTGTGATTAACACTGAACCCTATGGGAGCCCCAGTGAGTAACACTCAACCCTATGGGAGCCCCAGTGATTAACAACGAAATCACGACGTTTCGGAGGCAACACAAGCTTCCGTCTTCAGGTGGCACAGCAAAATTACTGCTGTGACGGTGCCACCTGAAGACGGAAGCTTGTGTTGCCTCCGAAACGTTGAGATTTAATTTATTTTTTATTTTATTTTGTAACCTACGTGACTTTACCGAAAAAACCAAAGAATATGTACCCTTGCAGTCACGAAAACTTATTAACAACGAACCCTATGAGAGCCCCAGTGAGTAACACTGAACCCTATGGGAGACCCAGTGATTAACACTCAAGCCTATAGGAGACCCAGTGATTAACACTCAACCCTATGGGAGACCCAGTGAGTAACACTGAACTCTATGGGAGACCCAGTAATTAACACTGAACCCTATGGGAGCCCCAGTGATTACACCGAACCCTATGGGTGGCCCAGTGATTAACACTGAACCCGATGAGAGCCCAAGTGAGTCACACTTAACTCTATGGGAGACCCATTGATTAACACTCAACCCTATGGGAGACCCAGTGAGCAACACTGAACCCTATGGGAGTCCCAATGATGAACACTGAACTCTAAAACCACCCACTCCCAAGTGTAAGCGGGTGAGTGAGTTTCTGATTGAGTGGCTGAGAAAGTGGGTGAGTAGGGGATTTATTCAATGAGTGGATGAGTGGGTGAATGAGTGGTGAGTGAGTAGCTGAGTGAGTATCTGAGTGGGTTAGTGGGTGAGTGAGTGGAGGATGAGTGAGCGAGTGAGTCTCCGAGTGAATGGGTGATTGATTGAATTAGATAATGATTGACCGAGTTGCTGAATGAGTGAGTGACTGAAGGAATGAGTGGGGAAATGAGTGAATTGATGAGGGAGTGGGTGAGTAAATAAGAAAGTAAGCGAGAGAGTAGATGAGTGAGTTTTTGAGCGAGTGGATCAGTGATTGTAGGAGTTTCTAAGTGAGTGAATGAGTGATTTTCTGAGTGCATGAGTGAGCGAGTTAGTGAGTAAGCGTGGCTGATTGAGTAAATGAGTAGATAGGTTAGTGAGTGAGGGCGGATGAGTAAAGGAGTTTTTGAGTAGGTGATTTGGTGGTTGACTGAATTTCTGAATCGGTTAGTGGGTTAGTGAGCTTCTTCGTGCGTCTGTGAGTGAGTGAGTCTGAGTGAGTCTGAGTGAGTCTGTGAGTGAATGGTTAAATGAATGGGTGAGTGAGTCAGTTAGTGAATGCTTGGCTGAGTGAGTTTCTGAGTCAGTCTGTGAGTGAGTGGATGAGCGAGTGGGTGAGCGAGTGGGTGAGCGAGTGGGTGAGCGAGTGGGTGAGCGAGTGGGTGAGCGAGTGGGTGAGCGAGTGGGTGAGCGAGTGGGTGAGCGAGTGGGTGAGCGAGTGGGTGAGCGAGTGGGTGAGCGAGTGGGTGAGCGAGTGGGTGAGCGAGTGGGTGAGCGAGTGGGTGAGCGAGTGGGTGAGCGAGTGGGTGAGCGAGTGGGTGAGCGAGTGGATGAGTGAGTGAGTTGTTGAATGAGTGGGTGAGCGAGTGGGTGAGTAAATGGGTGAGTGAGTGGAGGAGTGATATTCTGAGTTGGTGGTTGAGGGAGTGGGTTCTTAAGTGAGTAGAAGAGTGGATGAGTGAGTGGGTGAGTGAGTGATTGATCGATTGTGTGGGTGAGTGAGTAGGTAAGTGAGTTTCTGAATGAAGTGGCTAATAGACTGGGCGAGTAGGTGAGTGGGTGAGAGAGAGTCTCCAAGTGAGTGGGTGAGTGAGTGGGTTGTTGAATGAGTGAATGGTTGAGTGAGTGGATGAGTGAATGAATGAAATTATTGAGTGGATGAGTTAATGGTTGCGAGTGAGTCGGTGGGTGGATGAATGAGTTTCGGAGTGAGTGGATGAGTGAGCGACTGAGTTTGTGAGTGAGTGAGTTGGTCAGTGAGTGGCTGAGCGAGTGGATGAGTAAGTAGGTCAGTGAATGGGTGCGGATAAGTGAGGTAGTTTTTAAGTAAGTGGGTCGGTGGTTGAGTGAGTTTCTGAATAAGTTAATGGGTGAGAGCTTGAGTGAGTCTGTGAGTGATTGAGTCTGTGAGCGAGTGAGTCTATGAGTGAGTCTATCAGAGAGGGAGTCTGTGACCGAGTAAGTAAGTGGGTGAATCTGTGCACGCATGGGTAAGTGGGCGAGTGAGTGCACGAGTGAGTGGATGAATTATTTTGTGAGTCAGTTTCTGAGGTGTGAGTGGGTGAGTTTACGAGTGATTCTGTGAGTGGATGCACGAGTGGGTGAGCAAGTGGGTGGGTAAATGGGTGAGCAAGTTCTTGAGTGAGTTTCTGAGTGAGCGGCTGAGTGAGTATGTGAGGGATTGGGTGAGCGCGTAAGCCTGCGAGTCGTTGAGTGGGTGGGTGCAAGAGTGGATGAGTCTGTGTGAGTCTATGTGTCTTTGTGCAAGTATATTGTCCGTGTTTCGACGGGTCTTTTTTTGAGTTAATTGGTTTCTGTGCGAGTCAATGGGTCTGTGTGAGTCTATGCATCTATGTGCGAGTCTTTGGGTCTCTGTGTGGTGCGCATAGCCTGGCATGTGAGTGGGGGGTACAGTACCCCTGTGCGTATGTGTGGCGGGGGCACCGTAACCCCGTGTGTATGTGGGTGGGGTACCGTAACCCTGTGCGAGGGGATCTCCCCGCCCCCACCCCCGGGGCAGAGGGAGGATCATGAAGGTGGACCCGGAAGTGCTCGGCTTGGGAGACAAACCATCCTCCTCCTGCTTCTTGTTGTTGTGCTGGGGGGGAGGGGGTGTGGAGAGGGAGGAAGGGAGGAGGAAAAGAGGAAACTAAACTATTTCAATTTTTCCAGGTAATGCCCATCGAGCGACACAGCTCTTCTTCAGAAGGGAAAATGCCACAAATGATAGGTCAACGAAGTGGCCTATCATCACGTCGACATTTATAGAAACCAAACACTCTGAACGCGACCACGGGGAGAGAGAGAGACATGCAAACTCGAAATATACAGGTGTGAGGGTAGGGATCGAACCCACGACCTGTATAACAGGCGAGGTAGTTACGGGAGAAAGAAGAGAGATAGAGAGGCAGAGAAGGAGCGGGAGGTAGAGTGGGTGGGGGAGAGTGGGGGGAGACAGGGAAAGGGAGGAAGAGTGGGTAAAGGGAGGGGGGGAAATAAGTCAAGCTCAGTATTGCTTGCACTCACCATGATACAATCACCATCAAACTCACACTGTCACATACCATCACTCACATACTCACCATGATACTCACACATCCACATACACTCACCCTCATAAACACACCCCTACCATCCAACTCACAGACACGACATGATAGTCACACACGCAATCACCATTACTCACAAGCCCACAAACTCACAACGACAATGGCCGCCATTCGCCACTACGTGGCGGTAATGTCATCACAACAAACCAGGTGCCATGGGTTGAGTGCTGTGCCATACTAGGTGCAGGAGGAGGAGGTCATGGGACAGACCCAGGTGCCATGGGTTTACTGCTGTGCCAGGCTAGGTGCAGCAGGAGGTCACGGGACAGATCCTGATACTATGGGTTGACTGCTATTAGATAATCCCACTCGGGTGACAGCCAAGGTCAAAGGTCAGAGTGCAGCCAGTCAACTCCTGACCCCTGAACATGGCCCATCCAGAAAGAAGAGAGGGGATGGAGACACGGGGAGAGAGAGCAGAGGTAGGAGGAGAGTGTGTGGAGGAAGCGAGAGCTCCTATAGAGATGCAGGAGGTAAAGATGGCCCAGAATCAATGACGACTGCAAGGTATGCTGGGAGGCAAGGTCATGTGACCACAGGGGCGGCAGTGCTGGTTGGAGCAATCGTTTTTGGAGCCGCATGGGCAGAGGACACGGAACCCATCCTTCATCCCAGCACCTGCACCAACCACAATCACCACCACAACTAAAACCAAAACCATAAAATAACCGCAACGATAATCATACCTCCAATTAGCACGGTCGGCTGGGTAGAGTGCGATTGAAGTTCAAAATAATACAACTACCATAACAACCATCATAACCACCTCCACCACAACTATGTCCACTACAACCACAACCTACACAATTATAACAAATATAACCAAACACCACAGCCGCACATATAACCACAAATTACACAACCACAATTATAACCACAACCTAAACCACCACAAGCACCACAACCAGAGCCACAACTACCATGACAACCAACATAACCATCTACACCACAACTGCAACCTCCACCACCACTACAACCACCTATACAACCAAAACTAAAGCCATGATCATCACAACCACCACCACCATCACAACCACCACCACCATAACTACCACCATAACCACCACCATAACCACCACCACAACCACCATAACCACCACAACCACCACCACAACCAAACAACAAAAACATTGACGCAGATACTACAATACCACTGCATAAATGGTCTGTATCCCTCTGTGGGTGAGTGAGTGGCTGAGTGGCTGGCTGAGTGGGTGGGTGAGTGAGTGGCTGAGTGGGTGAGTGGCTGAGTAGGTGAGTTAATGAGTGACTGAGTGGCTGAGTGGCTGAGTGTGAAATGGACTCGAACCTGCACCTCTGCATTGCAAGCCCAGTGAGCTCACGCCCCGCGTGTGTATCGGGGTAAAGTGCGGGCACGCCCAGCGTGGAAGAGTAGACCAAACACTCCACATCGCGGCCTCTAGTCGAGGCCATTTCTGCCACGACAACAAATCCGCCCCTCCAGAGACACAAACAACTAAATGTAACTCATCCCATCAGCCACAATCTGGCAGTGCCTCTCCTCATCATCAGCAGCAGCAGGGCCGTGAACTCAGCAGACGCCTCCTCTGCCCCCCCACCACCGCCACTGCCACTGCTGCTGCGTCCACAGCGTGCAAGGTGCTCGCCTTGTTCGGGCTGAGTCGACCTAGAGGAGGCCCAGCCAGCGAGCCGCCGACGGTGGCCGCGAGCGGGAATCCAAACCGTCCGCTCGCCACCCACAATGCACAGCGCCGCCTCCACTCGCCCCGGCCTCAGCGGAAGTAGCAGCGGGGGGAGGGGCGGGGCGAGGGGGGTGAAGGGGCGGGGCTAGGGGGGTGAAGGGGCGGGGCGAGGGGTTGGGCATGGGGGGAGGGGCTCCGGTGGGGGGAGGAGCTTAGGTCTGCGACGTCATAGTGGGCGTGGTCACTTGGTACCGCCCCCTCGTGTCTCCCTCAGGCAGTTTGTCCGTTAGAGAGTCGGGGGAGCATCTGGCGAAGGTGAGAAATGGTGTGAGTCTGTGTGTGTATGAGTCTGTGTGTGTGTGAGTCTGTGTGTGTGTGAGTCTGTGTGTGTGTGAGTCTGTGTGTGTGTGAGTCTGTGTGTGTGTGAGTCTGTGTGTGTGTGTGTCTGTGTGTGTGTGAGTCTGTGTGTGTGTGAGTCTGTGTGTGTGTGAATCTGTGTGTGTGTGTGAGTCTGTGTGTGTGTGAGTCTGTGTGTGTGTGAGTCTGTGTGTGTGTGAGTCTGTGTGTGTGTGAGCCTGTGTGTGTGTGAGTCTGTGTGTGAGTCTGTGTGTGTGTGTGAGTCTGTGTGTGTGTGAGTCTGTGTGTGTGTGAGTCTGCGTGTGTGTGAGTCTGCGTGTGTGTGAGTCTGCGTGTGTGTGAGTCTGCGTGTGTGTGAGTCTGTGTGAGTGTGAGTCTGTGTGTGTGTGAGTCTGTGTGTGTGAGTCTGTGTGTGTGTGAGTCTGTGTGTGTGTGAGTCTGTGTGTGTGTAAACACAAAGGCGGCCGGGCGTGGTGCTGGCCACCCACCCCCTCGTGTGCCGTTCTGCCCTTCATAGGTACTGCTGGCTAACAGCACTTGCCCCAACAGTCTAATGCAGCTATAAGGGGGATCTTTATCTTTGTTGTTAGTGGTGGTGGTGTTGTTGGTGTTGATGGTGGTGGTATTGGTGGTGTTGATGGTGGTGGTATTGGTGGAGTTGGTGGTGTTGTTGGTGGTGGTCTTGGTGGTGTTGTTTGTGATGGTGGTGTTGTTGGTGGTTGTGGTGGTCGTGTTGGTGTGTTTGTGATGGTGTTGGTGGTGGTGTTGGTGGTGGTGTTGGTGATGTTGATGGTGGTGTTGATGGTGGGGTTGTTGATTGTGGTGTTGGTGGTTGTTGTGTTGGTGGTCTTGGTGGTGGTGTTGGTGTTGGTGGTGTTGATGGTGGTGGTATTGTTGGTGTTCGTGGTGTTGATGGTGGTGTTGTTGATTGTGGTGTTATTGGTGGTCGTGTTGGTGGTCTTGGTGGTGGTGTTGGTTGTGGTGATGTTAGTGGTGTTGATGGAGGTGATGTTGATGGGGGTGGTATTGGTGATGTTTTTGGTTATGGTGTTGATGGTGGTGATAGTCTTGTTGGTGGTGGTGGTGGTGGTGGTGTTGGTGGTATTGTTGGTGATGGTGGTGTTGTTGATTGTACGATCCATCCTGGGTTTAACCAGGCTGGATTGTGTGAGGGGCTCACAAATGCTTGAAAGATCTGGAGACATTCCCACCAGTAAGTTCGTCCGGCAGGCAAGGCTGCATTGGCTGGGTCTTGTAGACCGCATACCCAAGCAGTTTATTTTGGTTGCATAAAGGGGGCTAAACGGGCACGACATGGGCTGTCAAAATATGGACTGATGCTGTATGGGAGGATGTGGAGCTGAGTGGACTTGCAGAAGACTGGTATCAGTGGTGTGGATAGCATCCTTCACGAGGAAGCTCGTGAAGGATCCTACCGGGCAGTAGGAGGCAGTCGCCTTCCAACAACAACTGAGGACAGAGGAGTGACGCTCACAACGAGTAGCGGATAAAATTCAACAAGTTGGCACAGTTGGGGATACAGCTGGTGTATCTACCAGTCATCTCAGCCAACCTTTGGAACCTGGGTCTATCCCGTGACGTCTTGTCAGCCTTCGACACTTCACGTGGACTAAAAGTGCACCTGGCCCGGCACAGGTGCCGTGGTGTCATCACCCCTACTTAGTGGCGAATGTCGGTTGTTGTTGTTTTTGTATTTCGTGTTGTGAGTGGTGATGATGTGAGTCTGTGTTGACAATGTGGGTTCATGGTGAGGATGTAAGCCCGCGTTGTGACTCATGTTGAGATCTGGGAGCCCTCACGCCCTCTCGACTCTTTGTGATCCTCGCCTTCGTCTCCTGCTCCGCACGCAGAGACCCGGACTGTGCGAGAGACGCTGTGAGATCTTTGCACCCTGCTCTGCAAGTTGCTACCATGGAGGTACGTGTGGCTCTTCGACTCGTGTGGTGAAGTATTGATGGACGTGTGCTCTCCACTCTGCGTGAGGCTACCTGTCGCCTATCCATATACCTGAGTGTACATCTACTTGCCTGCCTGAGTGTGTGTGCATCTATCAGAGTATCTCCCCCGAGATCCTGTCTGTGTACCTGCCTGTCTACACGTGAATAATCTACAGTACTTTTATTATCCACTACTGGATGAAGGCCTCCTTCCCTGAGTTCCTGCTACCCCTCATGATCCTGCAATGGCATAATCCACCAAGCACCGATTTTGTCGCTCCATCTTTCTGGAAGCTGTCCTCTCAAACGTGCTCCGATACTTGGCTGCAGCTCCGTTATTCTTCTTGACCATCGGCCATCGTTGTTCCTCCTGGCCGTGGCATGTCCTGGCCCAGCCCCACTTCTCTTATCAGTTTGAAGGATGCCACACGTGTCTCATTGTAAATCCAAGTGTGACATCAGATATTGACCAAATATCCCAACGCTGAGAACTGACACAACATCTTGGCAGGACCCTCCTGATTGTGGAGCCCGGGATCTCAGAGATCCTGGCTCAGTGCTCGCCTCCTGCGCTTTCCCCAACATCTTGCTAAAGTTTACGTGGTGGACCTTTGTCTTTGTGTGTGTGTAGATGAGCCGAGGTGGAGAGGCGAGGAGTAAGGGCGAATCTTGCACCACGTGGAGTGCGCTGTCCTCAGAGGGCAACGCCTCCATCTGCAGCAAATCACCGCAAGGTAAGGACAGTAATGAGGGACGTCACAGAGGGCCATGGTGAATGGTGGAACATCACAATGGCCATGATGCATGGTGGATGTCACAGTGACCGTGATGCATTGGAGATTTCATAGCGGCCATGTTGCATGGTGGATGTCACAGTGACCGTGATGCATTGGAGATTTCATAGCGGCCATGATGCATGGTGGATGTCACAGTGGCCGTGATGCATTGGAGATTTCATAGCGGCCATGTTGCATGGTGGATGTCACAGTGGCCGTGATGCATTGGAGATTTCATAGCGGCCATGCTGCATGGTGGATGTCACAGTGACCGTGATGCATTGGAGATTTCATAGCGGCCATGCTGCATGGTGGATGTCACAGTGACCGTGATGCATTGGAGATTTCATATCGGCCATGTTGCATGGTGGATGTCACAGTGACCGTGATGCATTGGAGATTTCATAGCGGCCATGTTACATGGTGCATGTCACAGTGACCGTGATGCATTGGAGATTTCATAGCGGCCATGTTACATGGTGCATGTCACAGTGACCGTGATGCATTGGAGATTTCATAGCGGCCATGTTACATGGTGGATGTCACAGTGGCCGTGATGCATTGGAGATTTCATAGCGGCCATGATGCATGGTGCATGTCACAGTGGCCGTGATGCATTGGAGATGTCATAGCGGCCATGTTACATGGTGGATGTCACAGTGACCGTGATGCATTGGAGATTTCATAGCGGCCATGATACATGGTGGATGTCACAGTGGTCGTGATGCATTGGAGATTTCATAGTGGCCATGTTGCATGGTGGATGTCACAGTGGTCGTGATGCATTGGAGATTTCATAGCGGCCATGTTACATGGTGCATGTCACAGTGACCGTGATGCATTGGAGATTTCATAGCGGCCATGTTACATGGTGGATGTCACAGTGGCCGTGATGCATTGGAGATTTCATAGCGGCCATGATGCATGGTGAATGTCACAGTGGCCGTGATGCATTGGAGATGTCATAGCGGCCATGTTACATTGTGGATGTCACAGTGACCGTGATGCATTGGAGATTTCATAGCGGCCATGTTGCATGGTGGATGTCACAGTGGCCGTGATGCATTGGAGATTTCATAGCGGCCATGTTGCATGGTGGATGTCAGTGGCCGTGATGCATTGGAGATTTCATAGCGGCCATGATGCATGGGTGATATCTAGGTAGCCATGTTGCATGGGGGACTTCATGTTGGCAGTGTTGCATGCGGAACTTAATGGTAGCCATGTTGCATGGGGGACTGCATCATGGTGGCCATGTTGCATGGGGGTGATTATGTGTGCTCTGGCCTCAGCACATCACACGCTTTCAGATGCACTTCCGATATTAGGAAGCCACTGGAGCTATACACTTTTAAATCATCTAGATTGAAAACTACTTTCTTTAGAACTTTTCATGTTTAGAATAATTTTCCTTCCCCCGCGTATCCATTTGGCACCATTGCCTACGTACGGTGCAAAAGAAGTTCAACATACATACAGACATAACTGGTATTGGCCAAAACATCCCAATCCTGTAATATTTTCCTACAAATTGCTCAAGTTTGCGATCACACAGATGTTGTTATTCTCATGTCTGCAGAAATCCTGGCTCTCTTTGGCCCTCACTTGACCAACCGTGAGAAGCTAGAACTCGCAGCCATGCAGGAAGTGTGGTACTTTGCACTTTTCAACAAATCTCAGGGATTCAACAATGATGGATACGACGACTACGAACGAAATTACATTCTGGTGAGGCTCGCAACAAAACACCAGCTGTGGGGGCAGTCACAGGGCCCATCGGTAGCGTGGTTTGTGGCTTCTTGTTATTGCACCTGAAGTACCAACCAGGGCTATCACACACACCAATGTACTTCAGAATCAGAATTTTTTATTGCGAGTAAATCCCATTGAGCTAAGAAGCTCTATTTTGAAGGGTGACTGAGCCAGCAGACATCAGAACATTCCACAATGACAGATTTAAAAAAACGTAATCATTACAGAAAATATATTAGAAAATTACATTCTCACTTAAATCTTGACTTAAAGCTTTCGTGACTGCAGGAATTAATATTTTTTGGGTCTTTCGGTAAAGTCACGTAGATAGGTTCAAAGAAAATAACAAAAAACTAAAACTACAACGTTTCAATCGCAACAAAATCGGTCGACTTCAGGAAAAGGGGGGTTTGCTTCCAAAGGCAAACTGTTTATTAGGGTTTGAAATGGGCATTGCCCAAATGTCAGCAGCCAATATTAATGCAAGTGGTGGACAGCAAACCCGACAGTTTCAGATCTGCCTGATGTTCGTGAACATAAGTCAAATCCGAAACTAGGTAGGATCTGAAACACTGTAGGACCAATACCTCAGCCGTGGCTGATCATTGTTTTAATGCGGTGGGCTCACATGAAATGTATTTCTCTAAGACGAAGGTACTTTGCAAGCCCACTGGCTATCAACAAAGATTCATTCATGAAGCCATCCATTTTAATCGACACAGACACAATTTAAACCGAGAAGATGGGTGCAAACTGAGTAATCATTGGAAGGACATTATCAACCAGTTTAAGTCATAACTGGCTGTGATCTTCCCATCCTACCACCTTCTGATGATAGTTGTGCTTTTTGCCCATTTCAAACTTGCGCTTTCACACTAACACAGCCACTTTGAGTGCCGACCCCTCGGTTGTGGCTCTGCAATATCCCATTAACATACTAAACTGTCATTAACATGATCATTTTCACCCGGCAACCCGTGATTGTTTTTTGTTATTTTCTTTCAATCTATGTACGTGACTTTACCGAAAGATCTTCTTGGTTCTTTCGGTAAAGTCACGTAGAAGGGAAATAATAAAATAATAAAAATAAAACATAATAAAATAATTCTCACGACGTTTCGGCTACAACGCAAACAGCCGTTCTCAGGTGAAGAACAGGTCTGTCAGAAAGACAGCGTCTGAATGAAACACCACCAGGCTTGGCAGCGTATATTTAATCTGGGTTGGAGGGGGAAGAGCGCCTGACAAAGGAATTTGCATATTCCAAAGAATATACATTCTCGCTTCTTAAACTTTGTGATTTTAATTATATTCACTTTAAACGATTGTACCTTTTGTGCAGTTCCGGCATGAGCACCTCCGCTATCGCTATGAGGTGCTGAAGAAGATTGGAGAAGGAGGTCAAGGCCAGGTGATCCAGTGCCTTGATCACAAAAGGAACATCCTGGTGGCCATCAAGATCCTGGTGTCACCATCGAGGTAAGACTTCAGAGCCGCACCGTCACGAGGCCAATATTGTTGTTAAGTCCGTTGCCATGGGCAGCCGTGCGATGCAGCGGTGACACTCGTACATCAAAGCGAGAAGGGGGGCCTGGGTTCGACTCCTGATTCGGGTGCTCTGCTGTATGGAGTTTGCATGTTCTACCCCTGTTCTGCATCAGTTCCTTCTGGGTTCTCAGATTTTTCCTTCCTAAAGCTTAAAATACACACACACAGTGTAAACTAATATTGGGGCAAAACATCCCATTGCTGAAAGATTACCTGCACATTACGGGAATTCCTCATTTAATGCTGTAGATACATTCCTGAAAAGTTCCGCGTTCAGCAAAAAAGTATTGAGCGAAAGTAATTTCCCCATAAATAATGTAATAATAATGTTTGGCGAGATACAATGCACTCATACACCTTGAGATGACGAGACAAATAACTGAGGGTATGCCGTCACGTTACTTTATCATTGCGAGTAATGTATCATTGCAGCTCAAGAAAGTAGTTTGTTGTCGACTACTCACAGATCGTGTTATAACGGGCGGGTTCCGTGCATTAACAGGCGTGTTCTACGTTATGAGAAGCGTTCCGTGTTGCAATGGGCGCGTTCGTGTTATTACGGGCACATTCCGCGTTATGCGAAAAGTGTGCCCGAATGGAAGAGGCATATTGAAGTGAGAATGCGTTGTGTTAACATGCGTTTGCATTTAGATTTCTCAAATGACCAATCCGATTTGAATGGTTCTTCACTTCCAAATCCTATTGGGTGCCCTACGTCGGCTCCTGCTCCCTCTGTGGGAGCTCCTCACCAATGATAGTCGAGTGTGCTACTGGAACCCCTGGTGCTGTTAGACCTGGTGAATTCATATTGAATTATTTTATTGTGAGTAGAATTTGGCTCTGGATATCCCTAAAGAAAATGTAGGCTCTTCATTTGTGGACTTCCTCTGTGCAGCTCCAAGCAAGAAACATACCAGAAGATGGAGCTCCAGATAGCTCTGGAACTTCAGGACGAGGGCAGTGATGAAGATTTCAACGTCATCAAAGTCCTGAACATATTTCATTTCAGAGGACACTACTGTATCGTCATGGAGCTGTTGAAGTATGTACTGCATGCCCCCCCCCCCTCCGCCAATAACGTGGTTAACTAACTTAACAAACTTTCGTTATTTTTTAGAAGCGACCAGACCACAAATAAAAGCTTAACAAAGTAGCATTTTTGTTCCTGGTTATTTCGGTAAAGTCACGTAGACAGACTCTGTCTCCCCGACAGACCTGTTCTTCACCTGAGGACGGCTGCTTGCGTTGTGGCCGAAACGTCGTGAGAATTATTTTATTATGTTTTATTTTTATTATTTTATTATTTCCATTCTACGTGACTTTACCGAAAGAACCAAGAAGATGAATCCCTGCAGTCACAAAAGCTTTAAATCGAAAAGTAGCATTTTGATTATAAATGTGGAGGAGAAAACGAGTGGACCCACAGAAAAATCCACGTACCCACGGGGAGAACATGCAAACTCCAAATGTACAGGCATCACGGTCGGGATCAAACCTAGGACCTCCTCCATACCAGGCGGGGGAGATGTCATCTCGCCACCGCGGCAAGCTGTTAATTCTTAATTTTGGAGCTTTCGTGACTGCAGGAATTACTCTTTGGTTCTTTCGGTAAAGCCACGTATAAAGATAAAATAATAAATTAAATAACAGCATACGACGTTTCGATTGCAACACAAGCAATCATCATCAGGTATAAATGAAATAGCAACTAAAATCGAACCAGAAAACTAGACAGACATATGTATCTTGGTGATATCTGTCTGCTTATATGTCTGTCTATAGTTTTCTGGTTAGATTTTTGTTGCTATTTCATTTCATTTATACCTGATGATGATTGCTTGTGTTGCAATCGAAACGTTGTATGCTATTATTTAATTTATTATTTTATCTTTATACGTGACTTTACCGAAAGAACCAAAGAGTAAGCTGTTAATGTTGAGATGCCCACGCCACCACCCATGCATTGTAATCCTGTGGAGCTGCCATGTGCCACGGGTGCATTGGAGGCCACTTGTCTTTTCTCCATTAGCCCTGCCACTTTCACCAACCCACGCCTCCACTCAATCAGCAGGGTGGCTGCATGGCAGTGGTGATGCTTGTGCCTCTCGGCGAAAATCCCGAGCTTCTGTTCTGTGTGGAGTTTTTATCTTCTCCCAATGGATAACCCTCGACCACCCGGCAACAAAGCCAATAAAATCAAGTTGTCAAGTGGGCAGATATGCCAACTGATTTGGTTTATGGGCAAATTGACTACCTCAACCCACACTATAACTCTTAATATTGGCACATGAACGTACAATATGAACATGATTATCGTTATCAGAATCAGTGCAGCATTGTAGCGGATGGTACTGATGCTGTGTTTTTGTTGCTGCTTCTGCCTCTCTCACAGGGAGAGCCTTCATGAAGTGATTAGAAATGCGGGGCTCCGGCGGCTGGACATGGCGATGGTGAAAACCTACACCAGGGGCATCCTCAAGTTCTTGCGCCACATCAATTCCAGGAAAATCGTCCACGCGGACATCAAGCCTGTGAGTGGACACAGCGTTCAGCTTTCACTTTGGTGCAGAGGTGTATCTTTATTGGGGACTTGTTCCACAGAGAAAACCGGCCATGTTGGTCACAGGGTCGATATGTTAGCTCTGCCCATCTCACTGGAAGGAGGCAGGGCCATGCTCCTCTGGTGAATGTGATCTGGTATGAATTAAACTATCGTGTAGAGTCGTGTCGCTCTTGGGGACTCACCAGAGAGAAAACCGGCAACGTTGATCAGAGTTGCCCCAAACCCTGGGAGACACGAAACGGAGTCAAACAGAACTTTTTTTTAAAACGTGCGAAATGTGCATTTTGGCCTGACAACTGCTCGTTATCGAATTCCAATCTGCAAATTGAAAACGTCCAAAGACAAAGGTGCAGTGGAAAGCGTCACGGAATCCGTGCACTCTCTTGTGCGTGGCTTTTTGTCTGTAACTCGTTAACGGGCACTCATCCAGCTGTGAGCTCCATGCAGCTCTCCTGTTGGAGCAACGGCAATCGGTTGTCAATAGAGCCACCCCCCTTTAATCTGATGGTGCCTGAGAGTGCTTTGAACGGGACACGCCTCTACTCACATCTACAATTTCGACGCATCTTCTTGGTTCGTTCGGTAAAGTCACGTAGAAGGGAATAAAATAATAAAAATAAAACATAATAAAACAATTCTCACGACGTTTCGGCCACAACGCAAGCAGCCGTCCTCAGGTGAAAACCAGGTTTCGGCGACAACGCAAGCAGCCGTCCTGAGGTGAAAACCAGGTCACCTGAGGACGGCTGCTTGCGTTGTGGCCGAAACGTCATGAGAATTGTTTTATTGTTTAATTTTTATTATTTTATTACTTCCCTTCTACGTGATGACTTTACCGAAAGAACCAAGAAGATGAATCCCTGCAGTCACGAAAGCTTTAAATCGAAATTTAATTTTGACACATTTGAAAGGGGCACCGCCCAGTGACAGCTGTCATAAAACAGCGAATATTGCTCTTGACTGACGCTTGTCGACAGCGCTATGCCTCATCTAGTACCCCTGTTTAGCGTGTGTCGTGGTATGTGATTGATCCACTGCTGGCTGAATGATATCGGCATAACCTCTGAGTTTGAATTCATTCTACCCCTCCTCCAGGAAAATGTTCTCGTCAAAGACACCGTGACTGGCACCGTGAGGATCACGGACTTTGGCACGAGCTTTTTCGTGGAAAGTCAACGTGAGTGACCTCACCTGGGTGTGTGAGTGTCTGCGTGTGGGTGTCTGTATGGCTGTCTTTATGCATGGGTCTCTCTGTGTCCGTGTGAGTGTCCATATGTCAGTGTCTGTCTGAGTGTGTCTGTGTGTGAGTATCTGAGTGCCTGTACATGTGACTGTTTATGTGCATGACGATATGCTGTTTAAGACACAGTGTGTAAACACGCACATATGTTTGTTGTCCTTGTGATTTTTGTACAGCTATGAATGTTGGTGGCACCCTAGAATACTTGGCTCCGGAGCTGTTGCTGGGCTATAGCTTGACATGTGGAGTGGATATGTGGGCGCTGGGCTGCACGGTGGCTGAGTTGGCGACGGGCAGGGAATTATTCCGGTCCAACAGCCACGAAGATCACCTCCCGCGCTGCATAGAGGTATTTCCCACACGGCGTCTGTCCGCTCGTGATCCCCCTCTCTCTCCTTGGAGTCGTGGGCTATGGGGTGGCAGGAGGGAGGGTGGCCACTTGGTGATCTGTGAATAACGGCCGTCGTATGTTGCCTGTACACGTGTGTGTTTTGTATGTGTGGGGGAGTGGTAGTGTAGCAGTCAGCCTGCTGTGCTAGAAACTGAGTTTGATTCCAGCTCATGGGCAACACCAGTGACGATTGTCTGAACTGGTCCTGGGCCTCCTCTAGTTCGAGTCAGCCTCAAATGAGTACCTGGTGGAGTGTGTAAAGTACCAGGGTTAATTCTAGATTTGAAGCTTTCGTGACTGCAAGGATTCACATTCTTAGGTTTTTTCGGTAATCACGTAGGTAAAAAATAAAAAAATAATGAAAGTAAAAATAAAATAAAAATCACGACGTTTCGGAGGCAACACAAGCTTCCGTCTTCAGGTGGAACATTCACAGCACGATAGCTGTATCAAGTGAGAGAAATTCCAAGAAACAGTCCTTGTATATATACTGGTTGAGGGTGGGAGGAGCCAAGGTAGTCCCTGAATATTATTTTTGTGAGGTTCGGTGCGGCTGAAGCACGCTGTTAGGAATGAGCCTTTGTTGTGTAAACTAGGTGCGGATGATGTAAAGGTGCGTGTTAAAGGGACTGAGCCTTTTTGTTATGTAGAGATGATGCGGCTGAAATCAGCCGCCACTCCTGTCTCTCTGTGCCACAGTGCTGGCCCTCAACAAACGCTGCTAATTTTGCTACTCGATCTAACAGCACTTGTCCCGACAGTGTGCCGAAGCTATACGGGTGACCTTTGTCTTCATGTCAACCATGTGCAGATTCTGGGGATGCCTCCGAGGTACATGGTGAATGGAGCACCCGACAGAACGCAGTTCTTTGGTGAGTTGAAGCGTGGGGTGAATGACAGACCGGATTCAGTTTTAGGGAGTGGCCTCAGGCTGTTGTTATTTTGTTTTGGAGGGGGCGTCTTTGTATTTTACATTACTTGGGTATGTGGGTGGGTAAATGGGTGTGTGGGCAAGTGGATGGGTATGTGGGTGAGTAGGCGAGTAGGTTGTTGGGTAATTGGGCGAATGGGTGAGTGGTTGGGTGAGTGGGTCAGCGAGAGGGTGGGTGGGTAGATGAGTGGGTGGGTGAGTGGGTAGGTGGATAGGTGAGTGAGCGATTGGGGAGGTGGAAGAGTGTATGGGTGGGTAGGTGGATGAGTGGGTTGATGAATCGGTCATTAAGTGGGTAGATGGGCGATGTGGTGGTTGGTGACTTCGTCTCTTCCGCTGTGCATGGCTCCTGCAGACCATCGGGGGAAGATGTTCTGCCCAGGCAAGAAAAGGGTTCCGGGGAGCTTCCCACTTCACAGGGTGCTCAAAAGCGATGACCCGGAGTTTGTCGAATTCATCAGCTCCTGTTTGCGGTAAGAACCACCCACCACTCCCACCCCCTCTCCACGAGGATTCCCCCCCTCCAATTGATCGGCGACCGCTCTCCACCGATCACCAGGAAGATGTGGAGCTGAGTGGACCTGCCAATAAGCGGTACCACTGGCCCTCTGTGGAGTTAGCCCTCTGTGGAGGAGTGGGAGGTCTGTCCAAGCCGCTGCTGGTCATCAGAGGACTGCCACTGCTACTGTGGCTTCCGCTGCTGCTGTGCATTCCTGGACCTCGTGGGAGAAGGGAAGGAACATCAAAGCTCTCACCATGCCTCTCTCACCACGTGGCCGCGTGTGTCCCCCGTGCATCTCTCAACAGATGGGATCCGAATTGTCGTATGACGCCAGTGCAGGCGCTGGCTCATAACTGGCTCCGGACCGCGGCCACCAGCACCACCACGGCCAGCAAAGCCACCACCACCACCGTTGCTGCTCCTGGCAGTGTGAAGCACTCTGGAGCTGCTGAGCGACGGTAAGCCACCATCTGCTTGTCCAGTGGTCAAGGCAGTCTATAGGGGGGTGCGGGGCCTGGGGCAAGTTACACGGTGTGGGCTTACGAATAACAAAGGAATCCTCCTCTTTCAGTCTAAAATAAAGCGATAAATGTGATGTCATCACTTGTGAGCCAATCCGGAGCGATAGCCTACGTGTTAAACGGAAGTATTACGTCTGACACCGTGACATCGAAGCGCAGGGCCCCCCAAAGCGCAGGGCCCGGGGTGGTCACCCCCCGTACACCGTACCCGGGGGACGACTCTGCTCCTGTGTGTGTTTAATATCTATTTATCTTTATTGCTACTACCTCTACGCTTATTTAGCCAGCAATAGCCTCACTCAGTCTCAATACTTTTTTCAGGAGGGTCCTGCCAAGTTTTTTGCAGTACAGAACAAATGTACTGCTGCTGCTGCTGTGCGATCCCAATTGAGTGATTTGGAGTTTCAATTTACAACACTGGTGGAGATGTCCATCCAACACTGGTTGCACCGCGTGTTTGTGAGGGTTCAGTTGCCAAACCCAGAGGAATGGAAGTGAAATTTTAATGTGCAATTTTATTGAAGGATTGTGTTATCTTGGTGTGTTGTGAGGCTGTTTTTGTTGCTGTTTCGCTGCATTGCCCAAGCTTGCATTTAGTGTTGAACAACTGACAGGATTTTATTTACTTATGCCATTTGTATTTATACGCTTTATTTTTTTAGTATACTTTGGACTCCTTTTGTTTTGTTTGTTGTTATAACCTGCTGACCCTGTGACTTGACTGGACATCTGTGAAAGAAGAGCTTCATAGCTCATCAGACTCCTCTTCATCCAGTTTAAAGAAAGATTCTGATTCTGGAAACCCATGCAGGGGGGGGGCAGGCAGGGTAGGGTGGTTGGTAGAACACACTCCACATTCCACACAGAGAAAGTGGCCCCTGTATGGGACTCAATCCCAGCTCCTCTCTGGCTGTGAGTTCCAGCCAAAGAGAATGTGTAGATTCGGTTATATACGGATTTATTTTTCCATAATTGGTTTTTGGGTGAGGACAGATAATGAAGCGGCAATATCTTTCCCAAGTTGCCCTGCATCCACTGAGACACCGCCAGACTAATGCCCATTTCGTAACCAGACTCACGGTGGGCAAAGGTATGCTGCATTATTGCGGCACTGTTAATTAGCTGGGTTAATCTTCTGCGGCACACACTTAGTCCACCCATGGACAATGGGGGGAGGGGGGGGACTGATCTCTCCTGAAGCAGGAAGTTGGAACGGTGTCGTGCGCATTTCTTCACAGAATGGAGCCGGCACAGCGCCCATCCTCCTTGCTCGCCCAGGCCTCTAAAGAGAAGTTGAAGGTTGTGGAGGAAGAGACCATGGTGGAGGAGCTGGTGGTGCAAGAGGAGGAGACTCTCGTGGAGGAGCTGGTGGTACTCGAGGAGACCCTGGTAGAGGAGTTGGTGGTACAGGAGGAGACCTTGGTGGAGGAGTTGGTGGTACTTGAGGAGACCTTGGTGGAGGAGTTGGTGGTACAGGAGGAGACCCTGGTGGAGGAGTTGGTGGTACAAAAGACTCTGGTAGAGGAGTTGGTGGTACAGGAGGAGACCTTGGTGGAGGAGTTGGTGGTACAGGAGACCCTGGTGGAGGAGTTGGTGGTACAGGAGGAGACCTTGGTGGAGGAGTTGGTGGTACTTGAGGAGACCTTGGTGGAGGAGTTGGTGGTACAGGAGGAGACCTTGGTGGAGGAGTTGGTGGTACAGGAGGAGACCTTGGTGGAGGAGTTGGTGGTACAGGAGACCCTGGTGGAGGAGTTTGTGGTACTTGAGGAGACGCTGGTGGAGGAGTTGGTGGTACAGGAGACCCTGGTGGAGGAGTTGGTGGTACAGGAGGAGACTCTGGTAGAGGAGTTGGTGGTGCAGCAGGAGAAGAGGAAGCAAGGGAGCCTGGCCCGCATAGGGAGAGCCATCCGCTCACTCCTCCGACGTGTGCTGCTTTGTGGTGGCCGGTCCACTGCACAGTAGGGGTGGTGGAGGTGGTGGATCAGTGTGAACCCTGATCACTTTTACCACACTCACCACACTCACAACACTCACCCTGCACCCACCCACCCTGTAATACCCTCCACCCACCCTGTAATACCCTCCACCCACCACCCACACCCTGCACCCACCCACCCTGTGATATCCTCCACCCACCACCCACACCCTGCACCCACCCAGTCCGTGATACCCCGCACCCACCACACTCAACCCTGCACCCACCACACTCACCCTGCCCCACCACACTCACCCTGCACCCACCACACTCACCCTGCACCCACCACACTCACCCTGCACCCACCACACTCACCCTGCACCCACCACACTCACCCTGCACCCACCACACTCACCCTGCACCCACCACACTCACCCTGCACCCACCACACTCACCCTGCACCCACCACACTCACCCTGCACCCACCACACTCACCCTGCACCCACCACACTCACCCTGCACCCACCACACTCACCCTGCACCCACCACACTCACCCTGCACCCACCACACTCACCCTGCACCCACCACACTCACCCTGCACCCACCACACTCACCCTGCACCCACCACACTCACCCTGCACCCACCACACTCACCCTGCACCCACCACACTCACCTGCACCCACCACACTCACCCTGCACCCACCACACTCACCCTGCACCCACCACACTCACCCTGCACCCACCACACACACCCTGCACCCACCACACTCACCCTGCACCCACCACACTCACCCTGCACCCACCACACTCACCCTGCACCCACCACACACCTGCACCCACCCAGTCCGTGATACCCTCCACCCACCACCCACACCCTGCACCCACCACACACACCTTGCACCCACCCAGTCTGTGATACCCTCCACCCACCACCCACACCCTGCACCAACCACACACACCCTGCACCCACCCACCCTGTGATACCCTCCACCCACCACCCACACCCTGCACCCACCACCCACACCCTGCACCCACCACACACACCCTGCACCCACCCACAGCGTGATACCCACTACCCAACATACTCCACACAGAGGGTTAGTGGTTTAAGAGGGTTAGGGGTTTAGGGGTATAGGGATTTAGGGGTTTAGAGGGTGATGGGTTTAGAGGGTTGGAAGTTTAGAGGGTTCGATATTTATTGGACTAAGAGTTTATGGGTTGACAGGTTTAGATGACGATGGGTTTAAGGGTTTAGAGGGAGGGTTGTAAAGGGTAAGGGGTTTAGAGGGTTAGGTGTTTAGATGGCTATTGTTTTAGGGGTTTAGGGACTTCAAGGGTTAGGGGTTCAAAGGGTAAGGGTTTTAGAAGGTAAGGGTTTAGAATATTATGGGTTAAGAGATTTAGATAGTTAGGTGTTTAAAGGTTTAAAGGCTTTATGGGTTTCGATATGTAGAAGTTTAGTGGTTTAGAGGGTTAGAAGTTTAGAAGGTTATAGGTTTTAGAGTTTTGGGGGTTTTTAGGGGTTTAGTTTAGGGGTTCAGAGGTTTAGGGTTTTATGGTATAGGTGCTTAGAGGGTGAGGGGTTTAGAGGGTTAGGAGTTCATTGGGTTAGGGTTTAGAAGATTATGAGTTTAGAGAGTTAGGTGTTTAAGAAGTTTAGAGAGTTTATGGTTTTGATTGTTATATGTTTATGGGTTTGGAGGGTTTGGATTTTAGAAGGTTATAAGTTTAGGGGTTTAGATGTTTGGGGTTTAGGAGATTTGGGTTTTCGAAGTTTAGAGGTTTTGAGGGTTAGAGATTTATAGGCTCATGAGGTTTAGGGGTTAGGAGTGTAGAGGATTTAACACCTAGACTTTCACAACTAATATTATCCATAATAAAGGTTTTTTTGGGTTAGTCTCCAACACACCGGTGTGCTAAAGGAGAAACGAATTGGCACTTTTTGTTCATGTGACAAACTTTACTAATTGGTATTTGGTTTTTTGGTAAAGTAACATAATTAGAAATAAATTAAAAAAAATCACGACGTTTCGATCGCAACACAAGCAGTCGTCATCAGGCAAAGGAGTCAGCCTCTAAACACAGACAGTTTATAAGGGTTTGGGGATGGGCGTAGCCCAAGTGTATCAACAGCACCAGGAGCATGGGCGGTGCACGAGTGACCAATGCAGCAACAATGCCCATGCAGCAATAATGCCTCATGCAGCAACAATATCCATGCAGTAACAATGCCAATGTAGCAACAATGCCAATGCAGCAACAATGCCAATGCAGTGGGTGAGAGAGCTGCTGTGGCAATATGGTTATGTAGGTAAGAAAGAGGAGAGGAGCAAGGGGAGAGGAGAGGGGGGGGGGGGTACGGGGATGAGGGGGTGCTGCATGAGCGCTAAGGGGAGAGAGGACGTGAAGCTGGGAAGGAAGTGGGTGGGGCTGCAAGTGGGAGGCTGGGAACGCTGGGGATGCGGGGGGAAATAACTCGGAAAAATAGACCAGTACCCGGCAGATATAATAGAAACAATCATGAACAATTAAGGTTTTACCTGGTTAATAGCATCCTTCCAATAATTGCTCAATTTGTATCCATCTTCTCGGTTGAAGTTATATCTATGTTTATATATCTGGATGGCTTCATGAACAAACCTTTGATAGTAGCCCGAAGGTTTGCAGGAGTACCTTGATCTCGGAAGAAACAATATCATGCGAGCCCACAGCATTATAACAATGTTCAGCCACGGCAGAGGTATTGGTTCTGACGTGTTTCAGATCTGCCTTGTGTTCATGAACACGGTCCGAGACATGTTGTTTCGTTTCCCCAATGTAACTGCTACCGCAGGTACAAATCAGTTTGTAGACTCCAGATGGGATTAGATCACGGATTTTGTGTACTGTATTGAATTGGACCTGGATCTTGTGTTTGTTTTAAAATTTTGGAAATCTTTTTGGTAACACCTGCTATGTATGGTAACGTGATGGTTTTGATTGGCTTCTCAGGGGGTTGTTTCTCCATGGTTGGAGAAACAGCTTTGCGAATAATGCGGTCCGAGTACCCATTAATCTTGAGGGCCTGGTGTACGTGTTCCAGTTCACTGGCTAGGTGGTGTTGGTCGGAAATGCAGTGGGCCCTATGGTGTAGTGTTTTGATGAGGGAATTATTCTGTGCCGGATGGTGGTGGGAATCAGGTTTCAGAAAGGAATATGTGTGGGTGGCTTTCCTATAGACAGTGTCCCAACGAGCTGTCAGGTCTCTTCTCAAACAAAACATACAGGAATGGTAGCTTACCATCCTTCTCCACTGCCATGGTGAATTTGATGGATGGGTGTATGGAATTGATGTGGTTGAGAAATTGGTTCAATGATGGCAGGCCATGTGGCCAAATGACGAAAGTGTCATCTACATATCTCTTCCACAAGGAAGGGCGTAGGGTGGATGTCTGGATGGCATTTGTTTCAAATTTCTCCAGGAAAACATTCGCTATCACTGGTGATGAGGAAGAACCCATGGGGGTACCTTCATTTTGTTTGTAGAAAGTACCATTCCAGGTGAAGTAAGTGTTGGTAAGGCAGTGCCTAACCACAGTAGGTACATCAAGATTCAGTCCATGTTGGACTAAATCTTCAATTATTGCTAAAGTGTCAGGTACAGGAACCTTGAACAACAGAGAAACTACATCAAAGCTGACGAGTAAATAATCTGGGGACAGTGAAATGCCCTTTATTAGAGAGACCAAGTGAGCTGTTACGTACTGCTAAGGTAGTCTTGCCAATGAATGAAAGCAAGGTATCAGACAGAAAACGGGCCAGTTTGTAGGTAGGTGAGTTGATAGTGGAAACGATTGGCCGAAGTGGAGTACCTTCTTAATCCATGATCTAATCCCATCTGGAGTCTACAAACTGACTTGTACCTGCGGTAGCAGCTACATTGAGGAAACGAAACGACATGTCTCGGACCGTATTCGCGAACACAAGAGAGATATGAAACACGGCAGAACCAATACCTCTGCCGTGGCTGACCCTTGTTTTCACGTTGTGGGCTCGCATGATATTGTTTTTTTCCGAAACCAAGGTACTCTGCAAACCTTCGGGCTACTACCAAAGGTTTGTTCATGAAGCCATACAGATTTATAAATATAGACATAACTTCAACCGAGAAGATGGATACAAATTTAGCAATCATTGGAAGGATGTTATTAACCAGGTAAACCTTAATTGTTTATGGTTGTTCCATCATATCTGCCGGGTACTGGTCTATTTTTCCATGTTAATTTCCCCCTGCATCCCCCGCGTTCCCAGCCTCCCACTTGAATCCCCCCCCACTTCCCCCCCCCCCCCCACAGGCTTCACGTCCTCTATCCCCTTAGCGCTCACGCCCCCCCCATCTTCCTACTCCCCCCCTCTCTCTCTCTCCCCCCTTGCTCCTCTCCCCCTTTCTTACCTATATAACCTCTTGCCACGGCAGCTCTCTCACCCACTGCATTGGCATTGTTGCTGCATTCGCATTGCTGCTACATTCACATTGCTGCTGCATTGGCATTGTTGCTGCATTGGCATTGTTGCTGCATTGGCATTGTTGCGACATTGGCATTGTTGCTGCATTGGCACTTGTGCACCACCCATGCTCCCGGTGCTGTTGATACACTTGGGCTAGGCCCATTCCAAACCCTTATAAACAGTTTGCCTTTAGAGGCTGACTCCTTTGCCTGATGACGACCGCTTGTGTTGCGATCGAAACGTCGTGATTTATTTTATTTCTAACTACGTGACTTTACCGAAAGAACCAAAGAGTGTGGATTCCTGCAGTCATGAAAGCTTCAAATAAAGATTCACTAATTGTCGAATGGTGGCGGGTTTAACGACACATTTATATTTACACAATCTAACCCAACAAACCTTTATTATGGTATGACAGGGTTAGGGTTGTAAAGGGTTATGGTTTTAGTGGTTTTGGGGTTTAGAGGGTGAGTGGTTAAGAGGAGCGGGTCCTCAACCTTTTTGGTACCAGGGACTGGTTTCGTGGAAGACAATTTTTTCACGGACTGGAGGGGGGGGTCCCCATTGGGTCTTTCTCTATTTTCAAAGAAGCTCTGCAGCGATGTTTGTTTTTTACTCATTTTGGCTAGGGTTCGCTTGTGAGCTTACCAAAACTGCGCAGTGCGGGAAAGAGGCGCAGACGGAAGTGGGCGAGCCATGTGCGGACAAAAACAAGTGTCGGATTCTGACTTCTCATAAGGAGTGT